GCTCAACAGGAGGAGAAGTCAGGATATTCGGATGCTGAAAGGCATTCAGCCTGAAGATAATCACAGAGAAATGGACTTAGAAACCTAGCGGAAAGAATTATATTTCCTTAAGAATCAGAAGAACTAGGGAACATTTTTTGCTGTGGGGCATAAAAGTAAAATAATGGTGACATCAGATATTACATTACATGGTAATAAGAAAGAGGCATAAGGATGAATTGCATATAATCAAAAATGCTTAAAATATGTCATTATTATGTGATTGAATATAGAATAGATTACAGATAACATATAAACAAGGTTATATGTGCTATATACTACATGTGCTATCTATTCTCTAAATAGAATATATGTTGTGCATATATAGAATTTACAGTATCTATATAGCACAAAGATAGCCAAATATAGTGCTATAGAAAGTACAATGTATAGTACTTTATGTATGACTATATATTTATATCTATACACACACAGAATTAAACATACTTTTTTGTACATCCACTCCTTGAATAAATGATAAAAACAAATTAGCATACTGCTTTATTATCGTCTTCTTCCTTTGACTCTAAGTAATTAAAACATGTGCAGAATGTGACTCATACACTAAAAGAGCTGAAAAGACTCACTGGATGATATTTAGCTCTTAGAACTTGTGTATCCGAGATTCTTCACATTGTTCTTTATTAAAAATAGTTTAGGCTGGGGATTTAGCCAGTGGTTTTACTGTCCGCCTTGCGGGCGCAAGGAAACAAGTTCAATCCCCGGTACCAAAAAACATAAAAAATAAAAAATAAAAATAAAAAAAATAAAAATAGTTTGCTTCTTCAATAGAGCTGATAAGAATAAATTTTGATCACTTCTTTGTGAAGAGAAAGTAACAGAGGGCATTTGCAGAAGTGTGCTACATCCAGGGGTCATTCTGGAGTAACGGTGTCTAACAGAACATTCCAGATGTTCATATATGACTGTCTGTGCTGTATCATATGTTAACCACTACGTACTTGAAGTTTCTGTGATTGAGAAAGTTACTTTTCAATTTAACTTAGTAATTTAATCGATTCATATTTGAAGAGCTACATAGGGGACTGGCTATCATGGTTGACATCAGAACTCCAAAGTCTTTTTTTTTATTAAATTCTTTTATTGATACATTGTAGGTATACAACACAATTACATTTCTCATTGGGAATTGTACCTTTACATAATGCATCTTGGTTCTTACTTTTTCCCCATTCCTAGCCCTCCCTTCATGCCCTCCACCCTTCCCTATTTACAAAGACTTTATTTCCATTTTTTCCATTTCTCATCATTTTTCCTTTCCCTTCTTTCCTTTCCCTTTCCCCTGCCCCTCCCACTACCCCTACCCCTTTGGACCTTTTCTTCCTATTTTACATTATCGATTATTCATTCTAATCATTGGTACAATTTAGGTATACAATCTAATGAACATTCATCATTGGAAATTTGCACCTTTACATACTCCAAAGTCTTGAGACTGACAGAAAGTTGAGAACACAAATCTCACATGGGGCACATTCAGACTTGGGGCTTATTTTCTTTGACCTACATAACACTAAAAAGAAAAGCAGAGTTAACACTAAAAGTAGACAGATTCTAGATAGTAACAATAGGCCAGTGCTGACAAACGGTTATGACTGAGTATCTGAGTTTCCAGTTATTAGTCAATGTGTTCTTCAGGCAGGCCCATCTCATTCAGCTTTGTTACTTGCTTGTTCCCTATTGGTATTTATGTATTTTCTTCCAGTTTAGTCCAAAAATGGTGTCTTTTTAAATGTTTCATGGAATCAGTAGCAACCGTAGATTTTTCCATGTGGAGTCTTTCAGCAAACATTGATCATTTCTACACCAAGAATATAGTAGAAAAATCCTTCCCATTTAAAAAGTACTAATACTTCCTCAGGGTAACCTCTTTCAGCACTCTCAGCAATTATGGTGGGGCTGAATGCTAATTAACCTTTAACTATAGGCTTTAGGGTTTGGGCAGGGAAATGTAAGGTAGAGGATAAAATTCTCAATTAAACCCTAAGACAAGTAATTTCTCTTGAGCATTTCTGAACTTTTGTATTTCTAATGTGGTCACTTAAGAGTTCTTTTTACCCAATGGGAAAATAATGACAAGATTTCTCATAGGACAAGTTTGCCTCTGTCTACAAGACAGGCTCTGAGCTTTTAAAGGACACTCTTTTTATAGGGCTCTTAACTTTTATTCTGGCTCTTCAGAAACACATTTAGGTTTCCTTTAGTGATTTCATATGGCTCCCTTATTTCCTTCCTTGGCTGGCTATCTATCTTCCTATTTGTTCATATTTACAAGCTATATTTTTAAAATATTTTCCTGACTTCATGTTTAAAAAATCCATATATGGTTCTTTAACATTATCAAGTTACTACATGTTTATAGTATTTATCTGTAATGTCTAAAGGATAGCAAAAACATAATAAGCAAGCATATTTTCTTCTGGATCATTTAAAAATGATACAAACTATTATCTTGTTGACTATTAATGGAAAAACTTAAGAAAAAAATAAAGACCAAATAAAGGTGTCATTCACTTAAAGTATTAAATGCAACCTATACTATCCTATAGAAACTGGCACTGCCTATTTCTCAAAAATAAAATATTTACAGAGTTGTTTTTGATCTAGGAAAGACTAATTTAATTTCCCAGAATGAAAAGAGGTTCTCTTGTGCTTTCAAGGTCTCAATTTCCAGTGATTATAAACTTTTAGTTTAAGTGAAATTTTATATAGGTTAAAAATCTTCAGAAACATCTTTAAAGCTATAATGAAAATGTCTATTCTCTCTGGCTACAACTCAAGGATTTAAACAATACCTAGCAGGCTACTTTTCTCCATTTATCTTCAGTATTAAAACTAATAAATCCATCTAAGTCACACGCCTTCCATTCTCAGTTACGGATTTTTAAAAACTGAAACATCCAAATGTCGGCGTGACATCCCAAACCATATAAAAAAACAGAAGTTCATCAACAATTTATACACGTAATTAATACATTTAAACACACACTCTCTGGCATACAAAAAATGCCTGGTATAAAAAGACATAATTGCAACTCAAGGCTATTTGTGGATTTCTAAGCTCAACACATCTGGCTATTTGATAAAACTATACAACCATAATTAATCTACTCATCTAGTATTACATTTCTACAAAACTAAATTTTGCATCTTGATAATTACTCGGAAGAACATATTTATCACCAAATTATTTTAAGATAAATGCCAGGAAATGCAACTCTATGAACAATAGAAAAAGTGTCCACACCTAAGTCATTCATATGAATTCTTCATCATATTTACAGCCATGTTATGAGGACAATCTTCCAGTGCAGGAAGAAAGAAACAGAACATTTATAACATTAGGAAGTCTTAGGAAACTGTCAGAGTCCGGAATAGCATCGTTGTCAAATCAATATGTTCAAAATTCCCCAAAAGCAGAAATAATTCTATACATTGCATGTGCTTACATCTGACTAAGCTCATAGAAAACAATTTTCTTGTTTTTTAAATGGTCAGTGTGCTTTTCTTATGTCTGTAGGGAGAAATAGAGGCAGAGGAAAAACTTCTTCTCATCTCTATCCACTCAGAGGAGTAACCAGAAATTGTTATGATTATTATTGAAAGTACACAGTAAATGCTCACCAACCATACTGTTAAATACTGTTGAAAGACATCTTGATTACTTCCAGATGCAAAAATACAAAGGTCTACCTGCCAACCCAATCGTGGTCCAATTTAATAATGACTACTGGCGTCTATTACTTATGTGGATAAAGAGAACGATTGCTGTTCAATAAGGTCTAAATGCCTACTCTTAACCTTCAGGAGTTTATTAATGTACGGTAAGGTTGATGTGTTCTATAGTTATAGCAAAGGTTGTGCCAACACAGGAATAGAGGAAACAGAGTTTTGCAGGGGATGCTTACAGTACTTAAAGGTTCATGTTGTTGTGAAGGCACTCTGAACACATTTTGCAGCCACTTACGTGAAAGCAGCACATTGTTTATATGTAATTCATCTTCTCATTCAAGTGGGTCACCTAAGCAAACCTAAGACTAAAAAAATGTTAATCTTGTGTTATGTAATCAGGTAAATATTCATTACATTCATATAATCCACCTCTAAAATACTGATATTTTTATTTTAAGATGATGAAAATTCAATTTTTATCTTTCTTCCTCACACCTTACTCTAATATTTGAAAGTTTCAAGTGATTAGGTTCTTATTTACATAATCTTAAAAATATAGCCACATGTGCTGGTGCATGCCTGAAATATCATAGCTTTGGGACGCTGGGAGAGAATTACAAGTTTCAGCCCAGGCTAGACAACTGAAGGATTTGGTAAGATCCTATTTGGAAGACAAAATTTTAAAGAGTTGGGAATATAGCTCTGTGCAATGGCCCTGGGTTTAATCCCTGGTACTAGAAAAGAAAATAGATTTGTTAAGGTGATAAAAGTCTAATAAATCATATTTTCTCTTAAAATATAATTACATGACTTCAATAAGAATATATTTCAATATTCCATACAGAATAAACCTCCAAATATGTACCCAGTAAAATGGTACAGGAAGAAGGAGGAACAATGAAGTATTTTTTAAACAATGATTTTAAATTACCTTTAAGACCAATTTAATTTCACCCCACAATGGACATGTTCCTGATAACTACATGTAAAAGCATCTTTATAAATTTAATTGTCTCATAAATCAATGAAAAGAACTTGCATGCTTAAGAGATCTCACCAACTAGACAAGAAATCATATCACAGTGAATAATCAATCAAATGTAGATTATATGGATTCAAATGTTCATGTAATCAGATCTGTTGAAAATATCATAGAACTATAGCTTCCTGTATTACTTCCTACGAATGGCATAAATATCTTGAAGCAAAAAACATTCACAACTTGTTACATTTGTTTTCCATTTGCATTCTAAAACTTTGCACAGTACCTGTAATGAGGTGAAGGGTTGCCTCTTGCTTCACAGTTTAAAGTTATTTTTTTATCCTCTGAACCAACAGGGAAAATGCTGTTGCTGGGCTCTTTGATAAACACAGGTCCTTGTAAGAGAAGCTCACCTATGTGGGTAGGAGAAGTCAAAATAATTACAAGAAGGAAAAGCACTATAAAAACTGCATTCCAGAAATGAAGGAAAACAAGCAACTTGTGTTTATTCTTGAAAATAATATTAGCCAGTGCTCCATTTACCCACCAAGTACCATGCTCTGTAGATACTGCTTTGTTAGGGAGAATGAAATTCAACATAAAAACACATTGTCATATTAATAAGTCACTTTAAACCATAAATAAGTTTGTAGTAATTAGTACTTATAACAATATACTATGCCTGCCTGTCTTTGGTGAATAAAATATTACAAGATGTCCTTTCTGTCATAAGCTTCCTAGGAAACCTAAAGCTAAAATCAAAATCCATTGAATGCCTGAGTATTATTTTTCTACAGAATCTGATGAGCACATAAATCATAACAATATTTTGCCATTTTGGAAGAAAAACACTCAATATTTGGTGGGATTTCCATTTTATTACTAGCAAATTGAAGAAAAAAATGCAGCAATGAAGAAGTATCCTTCATAAAGTGTCCTACTTTGGTTAAGAGAACTCGAACATCCTCAAAGAGAATTTCCACATACATAGAAAAAAATGAATATCTCTCATTGTACTACAAGTTTGTAAAGTAGTGATATAATGCTATCACACTCAGTGCTTTGCAACTGCAGTTATATAATCATTGCCAGAATATTTGTGAAACACATTTTCTGGGAAAAAAGCTCTTACTCTCCTTTCTTGGAATGCTCAGCAGAACTGCAGAGAAGTTTCCACTGAAGCAGAGAATGCATGAAATGAATAAACAGGCACAGAAATAGATTTCATGAATAGTCAAACAAATGAACAAACAAAAAAACAAGATCAGATAGCCCTGAAAGGCTCTGAAACTATGAACCTATATTTTGGCTACTTCAAATACTGACAACACCAATAAAAATAATTTGCTACAGCAACAGCAATATAAAATTGACTATATTGTAAAGAAAACAATCATTGAAATGATGAAATTAGTAGGAGCTTAAGCTACAGAGCAAATTGTATGTGTCCTGATGTGTTCTTTAATCCCTACCATGCTCTAAGAGGTAAGTACCATAAGTATCCCCAATGCACAGAAGAGGAATATTGAGCCCAAGAGTAGCTGGATGGCAGGAATAAATTTACACACCATTTCAGAATGTTCAGGAGACATGCTAAATTAATTGATTCCAAAGTCTATCCAAAAAGACCTTTTTGCCTTTTATGTGATAAATTTGGTCTTGCTCCAACTGTGGCCTTTGCCTTCAGCTTCTGAGAGCTAAGATCACTGTTGATAGGAGTGTCTTTATTTAAGGTGGGGATAAAATCACTGGATCTTTGGGTGGGGCTAGCCATGTCCAGTAGGGATTGGCCACACCAGAAGGACTGATGAGAATGAAGGGTTTAGATCTCAAGGTATCAGCTGACCTGAAGATTGAGTTCAATCACAGGCAATCAATTTGTCATGTCTACATAACGAAACCCTAGTACACACTTGTGGCTACTGGAACTCAGCAAGCTCCTCCAGTTGGCAATACTACTTGTGTATTGTTACATAGCAGTGCTGGGAGGGTAATGTGAAAATATACGAGGAAAGATATCATTTGGAACCTTCCAAACTGTCTTGTGAGTCTCTTCCTTTGGCTGATTTTTGTATGGTTCCTTTCCTTACAGTAAACCATAAATGTGAATAGAACAGCTTTTAGTGATCTCTGTTAGTTCTTCTAGCAAATTATCAAAGTTGAGGGTGGTATGGAGCCCTCCTCAACTTGCAGTTGATGTCAGATTATTTGTTTCTCTTTCCATGAAATCATGCTGCTCTAAATATAGTCAGAGCAATTACAAACACTAAGCTATTAAACATCACAGTTCAGACAACTCTAAGCACCTCTGCCCTACAGCCTCACCAGAGGTCACCTTTCCTACTCTCATGATGTCTGAAGAAAGCAGCATGTTCTCCTCCATAAAGTCCATTCCTGGACTTTACCTATTTTTAGCTTCCTTTTTTTTTTTAACCTAGAAGAGGAACACAGCATAAAGAGAAAGGGTACACTTTTTCTTTTGAAAACAAATTAATTTTAAAATATGAACTAACACTGCTAAATGCAAAGAACCAATATTATCAATTTTCCTTCATTAACCAGTTTACTAATATAAATAAAAACAAAGAATTAGCATGTTCTATTATTTGAATTTATTACTTAGAAAGTTGAAAATACTTCTGATGTCTGTTTATAAATATCTGTGAACAAAGTACATTTTCCCCAACATTTGATCAGCATAATAACTTCTGATTTACTGCAGATGATGTATACATTGTATTCATTTATGAGAAGAGGCTTCGGCATCATTTTTCTGACAAACTCTCATGCATATAAAGTTGAAAATAATAACTAGATTAACAAAATGTAAACCTTACCAGATAAACTGGAGGGAGAAACCAAAACAAGAAAAATGAGAGAAATAAAGAAGGACTGTTTTCATTGAAAAGGACAAAAAGGTTAAATAAGCTAGCCTGGTAATACAGTTTGAGATATCCGGAATCAGGCCACAGTGCTCCCAATCATTTTTTCCCTTTCCATGAAACCACACTGCTCTAAGTACAATGAGAGGCAAAAATTAACCATCAACCTGCGGTTTTCACTTCAGCATTTCCCAATGACACTAGAGTTAATGGCCTGTGAGGCGCACATCCACCATCTCTGAAACTTAAAGCAACTGAAAACCTTTTGGACTATCAGCCATTGGGGAGCCTCCAATGAGTCTTAAAAAGTAAGCACAAATTATTAATTTCAGTCCCTGCTTCATGCTCAGAAAAAACACAAAAGCCTCTCAATCTTGCTGTCCTGGAATAAAATAGGTTTTAAGTGACGCTGGAGTAAAATGTTCCAGTCTCTTGTCAGCAATATAAACTTAAAAAGAATACATTCTGAAGTCTTTGTTAATGTGAGAGAAATTATCCAGCATTTTCTTCAAAATGAATTTTGATCCTCAAAAGGACAGAGTCTTGACTTCACACAGATATTGAGACCCAGCAAATGGGGGCCTGACTAAAAACCAAAAGGGCCCGCTTGACTAATTTAAGTGGATTCAGTGTAACATTTAGACTGATACTAAACTTTACTTTGTGTGACAGAGGAATTTTTTTGATATGCTAGTATGGCTCCAAAGCCCCATTTTAAGTTCACAACCTAAAATAAAGGGCATATAACACTTCTGAATAGGGCTAATAAGTCCAAAAATCCAATCCTAAGGCATTTATTTTTTACCCGAAACATCCACAGGCAACTAGGAATAACTCTCTTTGAATATAAGTACAGGCTTTATGGGCTCCTAAGGTAATGTCACCTAAAAGATCAAACTGCTGCTGATCAATTCTAATGGTCAAATGCTATACAATTTTTATGAAGACTGACAAGGAGAAATAGACAAAGGATTCCAGGCAGTTGCATTACTTTCACTAAAAGAAATGAAATTCCTAAAAGACAGATCATACTATCTTTGAAATTCCTAGGGGAAAAGCAGATCCTCTTTTCCCTTGCTTATTTACACTCTCTTCATGAGAAAAGAAAGGACAATACATTTTGAAATGAAAAGAATACATTCTAAAAGGGAGTTACTAAAATGAGAAATGCTATTTGAAGGCTAACTTGAAAAGGAAGTAGATCTAGAATGGAATATTCCATGTACTTCCTAGGTATCAGAGGAAAACAGAATGTGGGCTAGCCTGGGTGAAAGAAAGTAAAATAATATGATGCCAAGGGGTTCTATGTCTAGGCGCTACTTTTCTACTGACAACAAATTTGTTAAAAGATGGAAGCTCTTTTAAGTTATAGGATATCATCATTTTGGCATTAATGGTGCAAAGCTGGAAAATGCCAATGAAACAAGGAAAGACCAAAATAAAATTCAATTTATATTATTCCAAAGTTAGAGGAAGCCAAAGTATGCAATCTTAGAATAATTCATTTCTTTAACAAATACTGAATGCCACACACGTGCAGTACATGAAACATGAGCAGTGGCAGACACGGTTGTCCACTCAGTAGTTACTGGTTACTCTTCTTCCCTAGTCTCCAGAGCCTGCTTTTGCCAGAGAAAATGAAAGGGACTGAGGTACCAACGTCCCAGAAGGTGGTGCAGCTCTTAGATTAAGAGCAGGGTAGACAGAGGATATCGGATGATGAGACCAAACATAGTCAAGGAGGGTATTGTAATTTGCTAGGGTTGCCCTAAGAAAGTACCAGAAAACAAGAATAAGTAAAAGCCAAAGTGTGTTGTCTCACAGCACTGGAGGCTCCAAGTTTGAAATCAAGGTCTCAGCAGGATTATTTCTAAAGGCCTTGAGGGAAGGATCTGACCTGGGCTTCTCTCCCTGGCTTATTGATAGCCTTCTGGATGTCTCTTCATGTTATCTTCCTTCAGTGTGTGTTTCTGTATCCAAACTTCCCCTTTTATAAGGACAGGAGCCCTAAAGGAGTTCCTAAGGATCTGGTCTTAACTAATGACATCCACAAGGTCCCAATTTCCAAATAAGGTCACACTTCCTTATGATTAGTACTTCAATATATGAATTGAAGATTGAGGTGCAACACATTTTTCACCCATAACAAAGGGTTGAGTTTCCAGGAAAAGAGCTGTTTTTTAAATGAAAGTGAAGAAAATGAACTTGCTTCTCTTCCACTTTGATATGGAAACTGAACAGTAAAGGAGGGAATACCAGTGAGAACTACTGTCACCATCTAGACACTATGAAGGGGAAAAACATATATGAACCAGTATGAATTCAATAACTCCAAAGGTTATGTGTTAGAAAAGTAAATCTGTAAGACATTTTTGTCACCTATAACTAAAACCTATACTGCAACCAATATTCTAGAAAAAAAGGAGGAAAGGCAATATAGTATAGTCACAATGAGAAAGAAAAATATAATCCTTACCAAGAAAAATTAATTTGTCCGTTTTCCACACCTGGAAATGTTATCAAATGTTATC